ATATATATATCAAGGAATGGGAAAAATTCTCAGCACACAGGAAAATGCTCTTATCCAAAGAATTGCATTCTAAGAAGACAAAATGAGGGAGGCAGCATAATTTTTTAAGAGATGGGCACACTGTAATTTGGATTAAAGAATATGTAAGTGTAAACCTATCTTTCTAGGAGTTTGGTTGACACTGAGTGGACCCATTTCCTTTTAATAATTTACATAAATTCAATACTGATTCTTCCCAGGCTCGTGATACAAGAGAGGGCATCTAGAGTTGAGGGCGTGGGAAGGGAAAGGAGATGCAGCCAGTCTGGTAGAAATTCCAAATTTCTGAATGTCCAGAGATGGACTTTAAAGGTCAGACTGTTGCTAAGCAGGGGTTTAAGGCAGAAACTGACATCTCTGTTCCGTGGGCTTTTCCATGAAAATGGGATATTGCCTGTTGAAGTATAAGTGGAGTATTGCCAGCTCAGTGCATTGCCAATAGAGAAGTGGAGTGTTTGATGCTACAGGGCCTTTAGCATAGTGTTTAACGCGGTTCTTGAGCTGGCCTGCGCAAAGCATATTCTAATGCTTAGGTTTTTGTTATTGGATTTTGTTTGCCCTAGGCAGCACACTACTGCGTTTGTTCCTTCATCCGGAAGAATTTACTCTTTTGGACTGGGAGGTAATGGGCAATTAGGTACAGGAACAACCAGTAATAGGAAAAGTCCCTTCACAGTGAAAGGAAACTGGCTTCCTTATAGTACTCAATGCCCAATAACCACAGGTAAGCAACATCTGGCATATTTACTTTTTGGATTCCTGTTTCTTTATAGTGTCTTACAAATCTTGAGATTTAAACTGAATATGGGCTATAATCAGTTTCTTCCAAACAGTTTGTTTTCATTGTCCTCTATTCCATAAAGTCCATTTCTGTTGTAGGAAATACCTGCTAACTTGTGCTGTTGGGTTAGGTCCTTTTTTAGCACTAGAGCTAAAACTTAGAGCTGTTAGCGCTTACCTCAGTTAAAGATAGTCTTAACTATTGTATTGCAAAGATCTGCTTCAGTGAGGTTACCTAACGAGGGAGCCTTTTTTTCTAATGGTTGATTGCAGTGTCTTAATCACTTCTCAAATTCACATTTTCAGTTGCCTATTTTTTTTTTTTTTTTTTATTCCTGTTGCAGACAGTGAAGAGTGTTATTGTGTAAAGAGAATTTTCTCTGGTGGGGACCAAAGTTTTGCACACTACTTTTATCCACAGGTAACAAATTAAATATGCTTCTGTTCCAAAATCTGTCAAAGTTAAATTTTAGTTTTTCTGATGAATTTTAAAATATTTTCATGTTGAAGGTGCATGACTACATTGTAAAGTTTGTTAGAGCAGTGTGGAAGCACAAGACACTAAGTCAATTTAGCAATTGGAGGACTTGGATCCAGTTATTGAGTGTTAGTTGTCAGTAAGCTCTTGCATGCAGTTAGTGTTAGCTGTCAGTAAGCTCTTGAGGCTTTTTGGCATAAGCTTTTTTCCTGAGTGATGGATGCATGCAGTTCTTTTCCTTTCATAAGGTGGTTGAATATATGAGCTCTTCAGCCCTGCCCAGACCTCCTCGGTAATTCCTGACTGCAGCTTTGCTGTCTTCTGCTCTGTAGCCATTTTAGCATACCACAGTGATGAGGAAACAAATGGAACTTTTTGCTAAAAGTTGTAGGTGGTGACATAGTTTGTTATGTCATATTGTTTTATGCTAATCTTAAAGCCTGATTTTTAAAAGGACAACTGATCTGTTTAAATTCTAATATGAAAAAAGTATATAAATACTTTACAGTAAAAATGGTAACGTGGGAGTATGATGGAAAGGAAACACTATTAGAGGATGAGTTGGGAGGAAAAACAAGATAAAGTTATATGACTGTAATTGTATAGGGACTATTTCCAGTGTCGTCCAGCAGATATTAGACCATAGGGATTAATGAAGCATCAAGAGTTGAGCATGTGGAGTGAAAACTAATTTGGACATGAAGGAAAACAGATTTTAGTGGCAAACATGTTTGTTAAGAAAAACTGAGTACGGGTGAGACTTGCAGCAACCCTTTGCTCCAAAAACCTGTTCTGGTTGTACAGAATCAACAGTTTTTCTAGGTTTGTTCTTTTCCTGAATTCTGATTGAGTTGTGGTAACTATTGCTGTATTTGAGAGAAGCTTGTTTAGCAAGTGTAGACTCGAAAAATTACTGATAATATAGACTAAAAACTTCTCTATTAAAACTCCTTTCTTAAAAACTTTTTGTGCAATTTTCATTATTACGGAAGTAGATTCTGACTGACAAATTGAGGTGAATTAGAGACTGGATGAATGCAGTTATTGTGGCTTGTTCTGTCCAAAAAATATTAGCAATAGCTGAAATTTGGTGCTGCAAAAGTATCCCTTTTAGTACTCCTTAGTTTGGTAATTTGTGTTGGATTCTTTCAAAGTTATGAGAGTACTGTAGTCCTGGGACTTGTGTGTCCTTGCCTGTTAAGGGGTCTCAGCCAAAATCTGTTTTCACAAGTTCTTTTTTGGGCAGCTCAGTTCCCCAAGTTGTTTCATTGTGGGTTTAAATGACACTTTAGCTGGACACAAGAGAAATGGCAAGAGAGTTTCTCATCCTGATCCTGTAGGAAGGGATCAGAAGTATTGATTTTTGGTAACAGCTAGTCTTCGTTATACTGAGTTAACTTTGTTCTCAGGCTGCACCCTCAGAAGAAATAATGTTTTGTTTTACTAGTTTAACCTTATTTTTGATGCTATTTCCCATCTGTTTGAACCAATGTTCCTACTCAAAATGGTGGTCTTGGTTCTACTCCTCTTTACTATTAGAAATCTTACTGGTATTCTCTAGGTATGAGAGACACATCAAAATGCAGCTCATCTGATGACGCATTAAATATTCAGAGAAACATGATTCATTCTTAGAGGAATTTGATGGAAGTGGGATGGGAGAGCAGCTGTCCAAAAAATTGAATGGTTCTTTTTCTGTATGCTCACAGCCTGGCAGTGAGATAGCTGATTCATAGTGACTAGTGAGAAGAGATGCTTGCTACTCTGGTGTAAACCTTGTTTAGTGTTCTTCTAGAAAAGTACTTGTATGTTTACAGTTTACCATGAAGATGCTGTGGTGTGAATTAACACACTAATCTAGATGTTTTTAGTGTATGCTCTGCTTTCATACTGAATGCAAAACTGCTAGGACAGTAGCATAGTAAATTGGGCTTATTTCACAGTAACAGTCTGGATAGGCAAAATGTCAGTCAATGAAGAGACAAAGAGCTCAACTGCAGGTTTGATTTTTCTGGAAGTCGATTTTGTGTGACTGATTCTTTATGCTTTCTTTAAAATTTAGACCATGGTGCCACCAGATGATTTTAGGTATCCTGACTTTTCAAAGCAGATCTGGACTGTGAATGAAACGTTTATTCAAAGATTGCTGACTTTCCCGTCTGGAAGACTTCCTGTAGAGATAGCTAAGTAAGTGGTATTGAGGAAAGAAGTTCTCTTTCATAATTTTACTCATGAATCGGGCATTAATGGGGCTTTCCACATACATACTAAAACTATTTTTAATTACTGATTTTATTACAATTGGAGCTTTTGCTGTGCTTTCGTTGTCATGCTTGTCAGGTAGTTTAGATCCTTTAGTCTGTGTCATCTTTGTTACAGTTTGGATGACTATACAAGACTAAATGAAATATCTAGCTGCCCATTGAAAAATAACAGTACACTGCAAGGCTTGTTTTGATTTGAGCCATCTTAAGCATTGAGTCTTGAATGGAGTTTTTATCTAGTGTTGTTTAGCCATATTAAAGTCAGAGTTCCATTCTTTGGACAGTGTAATTTATTAGGGTTTAAATACAGTTTTTAATAAGCATTTGCAAATGCTTATCTGTAAAAAGAAAACAAAATGTAACTGATTTCATATGAATAATTTCAGTGAAATTGATGGAACGTTCTCCTCAGCTGGGTGCCTGAATGGGAGCTTCTTGGCCTTGAGGTAAGTAGTCAGCCTTTTAAACAGGTATTCCTGTGAACAGAATTCATGGTGGCTACCTTCCATGGTGTCTCTTGTTTCAACTGTAACACCTTCCCAGTATTTCCTTATCTTACTGTTACTCTGGTAACTGCAGTTTAAACTTCTAGCTCCTGTACTGCCATGTGGTTTGTCAGCTGGCTGAAATGCTGCATGTCTTCTGCCAGTGTTTGGAAGTGTGTGCCATGGCTGCTACCATGTAAGCCAGCAAAACTCATTACTTCTCAGCCACGGGTTGTGTATAATTCAAGGAGAATATATTGCACAGGCTGGTTTAGATCCTCGTGTTTTTACGTGATTGTCTTGCAGTTAGAGAAGATTGTTTCAGTTGCTTCAAAGGTAATATAAGAAATAGAAGTCTGATATTGTGATCTCCTGTTTTAATTCCGTAGTAAATAGGCTAAAAGTTCAAGGTAGAAGATTCTTGAATTGCTGAGAATACAGGATTCAGTATTTTCTCTGTATTTTTGTTCTTGCTGCAGCAATGATGATCATTACAAAACCAGCACTAGATTCTCAGGGGTTGATATGAATGCTGCTAGACTACTATTTCACAAACTTATACAGCCTGATCACGCTCATATATCACAACAGGTTTGTGCTGCATATTTTCCTTGTGTTTGGGATTATCTTTCTGCGTTACATCTATCCAGAAGTACTATTGTTATGCTTGCTCTGATCCTTTTAATAACTTTACTCAATAATATATAAACTGCAAATATGTAAAACTGTTGTGTTGTGCCAGTTAGGTAACACATCAGCATGTGGTATGTGTCCATATTTTAATATTTAATATACTGACTTTTTTTCTTCCCCAAGTGTATAATAGTCTAATTTAAACTCTTGTTGATTGTTTTCTGGATTATTTTTTACCTAGATGGGCATTTTCTTTAAATTCACTGTTGTATTAGAATAAACTGAATTTTATGATATACTGTAGGTGGCAGCTAGTTTGGAAAAGAACCTTATTCCCAAATTGACCAGCTCCTTACCAGATGTTGAAGCTTTGAGGCTGTATCTCACTCTACCAGAATGCCCACTGATGAGCGATGCAAACAACTTCACAACGTTAGCTATTCCTTTTGGAACAGCTATTCTGAACCTAGAAAAAGCTCCTCTGAAAGTTCTTGGTAAGAAACTGAATTCTTTACTGTTAAAACTAAGGATCTCCAGATGAAAATCTATAGATATTCCATCAGTGAAGACATAGCCTCAGCAACACCTGCTGTGTATTTACAGTTCCTTAAATTCCCCACTGAGAAAGTTAAGGGTTAACATTGCTTGATGCATAAGAAAACACCTATTCTGTTGCTTCTGGGCAAGTTAACTGACCATCCATATGAATTAATCCGGTATTGTAATTTTTGGACTGATTCCATTTGGGAGGAATTAAACTGTGTAGTACAGTTTACTTGATATGTGTCTTTGCATTTTAAATTGAAAATTATTTGGTCAGACAGCTAACAAGCTCTAAGCAATTTACAGAAGGGTTGCAGAGCAGATGTGAAATTGTCTTTGTTTTGACTCTAGCACCTGTTCTGTTCTTCTGAGAGGTTCATGTTTTCTCACTGATCCTAAGTTGTGGTTTTCAAGTATGCAGCTGAGAACAGCTCTATTTTTTTAACTCCCTTATGCCTTCTTACTGTGACTCCTGTCACCTGAAATTCAGCTTAGAGTTGAGTTGTCAGAATATTTCTTTTTAATTGATGTATTTTTGAAAGGGTGCTTCCTTCTTCTTCAGTTTACAAGGCAAAAAAATAACTCTTTGTGTGTTTTTCATAGTTTTTGGTGAGAGTAAAGAGCTTGTATCTGTAAAGAAAAGCAAACTGATTGTTTCTTTGAAACTGAGATTTTTATTTTTTTTTTGTAATTGCTTTCCTTTCCACTGCTTTCAGGACTGTTTGCTTAACTTAAGGTTTCAGGCTTTGAGCCATCTGTTTTTATGTCAAAAGTTACTTCATGATACTGTTGTGTAGACATTAATTTAAAGAGTTGGTGTGTAACAATAGAGCATTTAAATAGAGATTTAATTATGTATACAGATTAGTGTGTTGTTTAAAAGTCTGCACTGCTCTTGCTGTGTTAAACTTTTTTTTTTTTTTGAGTCTTTGCTAACTGACAAGTATGCTTTCTAGCAAAACACGCTTTTTAGTTCAAAGGATAGTATAACAACTTGTAGTGGCAAGCACTAAGTTTGTGTGTTCACCATTTGTTGACAGAAAACTGGTGGTCTGTACTTGAACCTCCATTGTTCCTCAAGATAGTGGAACTCTACAAGGATGTCGTAGTCCATCTCTTGAAGTTGTGCAAGATTGGCATTCCCGCTTCTGAAAGAAGAATACTTACCAATTTTTTACACACGGCTTTCAGAGTTCTGGAAATACTGCATAGAGTAAGTTTATGTCAAATTTTAACCAATTACTTCTCTGTGTGTTTTTGTCAGCATCTGTGCGCTGTGTAATTGTTAAAAGAAGTTACTGAAGAATTTTAGATACTTGGACTTGCATCTACAGAGATATCTGTAGTTGTGTCATCTGGACCTATGAACCATTGGAATTCTGGATTCCAGTCTGTCATGGTTATGGAATTACCTTTTTTCTTGGGAAGACAGACTGACCCAGGCAGTTGTGTCTGTGAGTCTGTGTTGGAAAGAATTGCCTCTTAAGCTTGAAATTATAGCAGTGAGATCACAAACGGAAGATAAGAGCAAGATGTATTTTGAACAAGAAAGATCTACTGTTTTACCAAGACAAACATTATTTTCTGATTTGTTTATTCTTTTTGTTAGTATTGTAACTTAATTCATGAAAACTAATGAATTTATGGACTTTGAACAAAAATAGCCGCAATTATTTGGAGTAACCAGACTGTGCACATCACAGTGTATTATCTAATTCCTTCTGAGGTTTCCGCTCCCACTCCCAGTGGGAGTTTTACCCTCTGCAGTTTATTTTGGTCCTATGACATTTTGTGTTTATATGCTAAAAGAGCATTTTAGACACTCCTTTAAGATGCTGGTGCTGTACTGTATTTGTACAGTCTAGCAAAAGGACCAGGTGTCTGAGTTGGACTTTTGTGTGCTATACGTAACAGCCTTCCCAAGCTGTCAGAAAGAATGGAAAAGATTTCTGCTTTGGAAGTTAGAATTTGTATGCTATGGTTTGCTCAGCTTTTCTTAATTCTTTATGGAGACCATCAAATTAAGACTGAGAATAAGACTGTTTAGTAACTATCTTGTGTTAGAAGTGTAAGATATCCATTACAGATTCCCATATGGAAAGCTGCTGGTGTATAATAAATTATTGTTTTGCTGCGTTTAGAATTTCTGTCAGTGCTCAGGCTTACAGTAGCTGTAAATCTTAACAGCTGAAATTGATCTTAAAATCTTAAGGTATCATGGGTAGTTGTAGAATTGTAATGTGGCTCTCCTAAGTTCCTACTTTTTTAAAACCCAACTTTGACTAATATGTAGCTACATTGTATAAGTAGTTAAATTTGTACCTACCCTGCTGCCCAACTATTTATATTGGTATAGTCTTAATATTAGCTGGTATTGACTAAAATGAGAGGAAAACAATGGGGTGACAACTTGGGTATTTCCCGGATTTAGTATCTGGTGGTTTATGGTGGGGGTTGAGATGTTTGAGAAAAGCAGGCTTAGATTATATGGTTATAGAGACAGATTTGTGGGTCTTGCTGTTTTGACAGTTAATGGTGCTTAACAGTCCTTGGGAAAAGAAATGTGTGTTAGGGAAGTGTGGATGCTTCTGGGTTAAATTTAGTCTGTAGAGATAAGCCTTTATAGAAAGTTGGTTTTCCATGCATGTCGCTCTTTTTCTAAGCTTAATGATTTTAAATAGAAACTGTTCCTCTGGTCACAGGTAAGAAAGATAGTATTCATACTGTAATTAAGTATAGAGTTCTTGGATAGTAGTTCTTAGAACTTGTGCAAATACAGGAGCAAGTATTTATTCCACTGTATATACGAATATGTATATTCATTACTGTTCCTGTGAGGTCAAATTATGTTTCAGAGTGGCAGCACTGTATTGTGTGATGCTGTATGCTTAGTTAATCTTATTTTTCTTTGCATGTTTGGGATTCTGAATAATCCTTGTATCTATGTCTTTAGCATTGTTTTTGCATCCTCATAGGCACTGTTGCTTTTCTATAATTTTTTAGTAGTTGGGTATCTGTGGCTGACATATCAAATGCTTGAAAAACATGGAAAATGTCCTTTTGAAAACTGTTATACAAAGTGCTAATAAAAAATGAATTGCACTTCTTTAGGTAAATGAAAGAGGACAAATTATACAGTATGACAGATTTTACATTCATGAGATACAAGATTTGATAGATATCAGAAATGACTATGTCAGCTGGGTCCAGCAGCAGGTATTTGGAATGGTAAGTTGTGTTGGTTTTTATTTGATTTTTTTTGTGTGTGTGGTTTCTCCCCCTTCTCCCTCTGTTTTGTTTTGCTTTTGTCCCTTTAGAAGCCTGTAGATTCACTAAATATGGGCACTTTCTTTTCATATAAATATCTTCACAGATCTGATGCTGAACAGACTCATGTCAGGTACTAACTAAGGAAGAATTGTTAAATAGATGTGCTTCTTGTACGGTATCATTCTTAGAAGTGATACTGTTCAACATTTTAATCTATTAATTAAAAAGTGATTTAGAATGCTGTCACTTGAGACTTGCCATGTCAAAAAAGTTGGGAAATGAAAACATCCAAAATAACCTGAATTGCTATGTAAGATAGGGCCAGTCAATGAGAAAGCTGAATTTGTCTTGAAAAAGTAAGCCTAGAAGCGTAAGAGGGAGTTACAGGGGACAGATAGCTAATATAGTTTTCTACTACAAGTACAGCAACAGGAGCTGAGATAATTCATTCCTTGATCTGTAAATAGAAGATTGGTAAGTGGGAGTAAATTAATGATTGTGAAGAGAAGTTACTGAGTTGGACAGGATTTTGCTACACAGTTCTTTAACTTATACTTTGAAAGAGTATTAAGTTATTACACATTCTCTAGTCACCTAAATTTATTTTTTTTGCAGCAGTGGCTGGAAGGTCATGAACATAGGAGACCTAGTTTTGCTATATTTTATTAATACAAAACAAGTGCTGCTGCATACCGAAGAATTAAAATTGCAGTATAAAATAACAACAACACAGAGATTGGGGAGTGTAAAGAAATAATGAGTCAGTATTGTCAGTCATGACAGACATTTGTTTCAGCCAAGCTTGTCTGAAAAAAATAACTGCTATGTGATGTAGGCTGGTGTTGGCAGCTAAGAGGGGTGGTATACTAAAAGAGACGTAGAAGCTAGGGATAAGCATTGCAGGGCCTTGGAATTAGAGAGGTTGTATATTTGGAACAGAGAAGGATATGTCAGTGACAGGTATAGAAGTGGTGGAATTTAAGATTGACCTTTGCAACTATGCTTTAGGTGGATGTAAACAAACCCAAATTGCATATGTTGTAATCAGAGAAGGAAATACTGAATGTGGCAAAGTGAGAGCTGGAAAATTGCTTTATAATTAAAGTCTTAAGCTCCATTTGTTAATTAAATCGAAAGATTGAGCAGTAGCTTGACATTACTGAAAAAATACTAGATACTGAATTTCCCTTTAATCATTGTATTTTGTTATGCATTTGTGCAGTTTCTAGTTCAGCAGAAAAAGTTATTTTGAATTAGTGTAGGACTGAAAGAAATTCTGTGACCTTAGTCAGATCTCCTTCGTAAATGGTTTTCCTTTGTAGATGGCCTTTTCTTGTCTTCGTATCCACTAGTGTTCCTGTGTTCTTGCTTTTAAAATTATTCAAAATTGTACTCGCCTATTGAACCAGTAAAATGGAATAAAAATTTATCTTGCTAGTTATTGTCATAACTTGAGGCAAACCCATTTGCTCAATTCCTTAATTAAAATGTGGAAGGGAAAATATAGAAGAAAAGAGAATCTCTGAAGTATTTGGAGTATTCTAGGAGAGAGAAACTCGGAAGAAAATTTTTCTTTCAACAACAGAAAAATGAGTGGGGAAAAAACTGAAGGTACTAAATAATGAACTATTGATTTGAAAATGTGTTTTTAAGATATGGCTTAAAGGAATTGAGAAATCTTTTGAATTAGGAATAAATAATGGTAGATAAAGTAGGAGTACAAAATTGCGTAAATCCATCTGTGATTAACGCAATACTCAAATCTGATGTTTCTTGTAGCAATTAGGAATACAGACAGAAAGCAAAGGGTTCTCACCATCACTTTCTGTGAGCCATGGGTGTCTACATATTAGACTTGTGACTCTCATATATATATATA